AGGCGAGAGGGTACGCGATTCCGTCTGGAGCTGGTTGTCGAAGGAGGGCAAGAAAAAAGGAGAATGGTTTTTAGATATGGAAAAGAAAATTGGATAAACCCTTATTTTGTTTGAGTGGGTCAGATCATGGGTAGGAGGTTCGGTCCAGTTCAAGGGTTTGGTTGGAATGGACAAGGTGACGTGGAGGGATTTCACCATTTTCTGGTTAAATTTGGCTGATTAGGTGATTCCCTTTGTCACGTCACCACATAACGGTCTTAATTAACGGAGACATACGGGGCCTAATGGAGGGTTACCAAATTTGAACTATTTTACTAAATTTTGTGACCATGATTGGAATTAAATATTCTTAATGATCAAATATGAACTTTTTAACAATTCCAATGACCAATCTTGCAATTTACCCTAAGATTTAATTAAAGCAGATGGTAAGAGATAATGTTTTTTAGTGGTTTTTCTAGATAGAGGTTTGGTATCCTATCTTTTCCCATAAAAACTAATATTGAAAATCCAATATTAAGACGACTTAAGAATGTAACAAAGAAGAAGAATTAGCATAAAATGTGAATAATTAAACAAATTGTCAAATATCTTATGAGATGTTAGACCATGTTAGCCTTCTAGAAGGAGAAAAACATTTTTGGAGCCGGACGGTTAGCGGAATGCCGACTTATTCCATGGAGGCCATCACCACAGGGTGGTCGACTATCAATACCGATGGTTCAATCGTTCATTCTCCTTCTAACACGGAGGTAGGCGTCGTCGTGAGGGGCGACGAAAGCCACTTCATCACTTCCTTTTCAGTGAACCTTGGCAGGGGGGTTTCTATCAGCCGTGCAGAGCTGGCAAGGGTTGTGCGCGATCTCATGATTGACTGGGAACATGGGATTAGGAAGGTTCTTCTCTACAAACGGACCATAGATGGCCATTCAGCTGATCCAGATGGCACAACAAACTCACCCACACTACGGGTTGGTGGCAAAGATTCACAGACTCCTCGTCGTCCAAGGCAGGTTCAGCTCGAGCACACTTACCGAGAGGCCCATTTCATGGCCGAACAAGTAATGCAAAGTGATAATTGGGTCAATAAAAATGACTCTTTTATCGGTAAACTATGGCCCAGAGTAGCAAGGGAACCTGTTAATTGCTTCCGATAATCAGTCTACCGCTTCATTAAAAGTGGTTGATGGCTTGAGGCAACCGGTCTACCTCTTCGAGTAAGCGGTTGAACACTTTTGATAAAAACGGTCGACCGAATGACACACTTACCGTTAAGTTACACCTGCTTCTTGGAAGTGGTAGACTGCTTCTAGCAAATGGTGTACCGCTTCCTGCAAAAATCCACCAAATGATATAGTTACCCTCTACTTAAATTAAAAAAATAATGGGCAATAGGACGTCCATAATGTGAATTATTTTGTAGTAATGAGGCATCTTATCAGCCGTGGCAAACATAATATTTACGAAGATTATAGACCTAAACAATAAGAAATAAAATCCTCTTTTATCATGGGTAATTATCATAAATGGTCACAAATTTTTGCACTTAGTACAAAGTGGTCACAAACCTTTAATTTGTAACAATACGGTAAGCGAAGTTTGTACTTAGAACAAAATGATAACAAAAATTCGTAACAAAATGGTGATCGTTTTGTATAACGTCCAAAGGTTTCTTTTCTCACATATTATGTTAAAATTGACTTAAATTGGTTGAATTCGATCCGGCTATTAAATTCAAATCACTTGTCAGACCGGTTTGATAGCTTAATCTGGTTTGACAACCTTGGAATTAGGGATGATAAAATAGACCAAACCGTTTGAAAAATCGTGGACCAAACCGAACCGCATAGTTTGATACGAACCATATACCGTTAAGAATAGTCTATTTTGGTCAGGTCTGGTCCATGGTATGTGTTATATGATTTTTTGATCTCCTAGTCTTGTCTGGTCTAGACTGTGGTTTACCGGACTAAGCCGTGGACACAGCCGACCTCCCAATTCTTGTTAGTAGCCCACTCGACCACTCACTCAACTCCTCCAACGAGAACCAACTCTCGACCTTAATTTTGAGGATCTCATTCCTTCCTTCCTTCATTCATGTCTCCTTATGATATTATGATAATGTTTATGATTTTATGGTGCAAATTGAGATGCTTTGAGTTTGTATCTTTGTTATTTATTAAGGTTTAGGGTGTCAAAATTATTAATCCATATTGAAGTTTATGTTTAAGGCATTTTTGTGTGGTTGACCAAACAAATTGTTTCATTTTCGATCAGTACTTCAATGTAATCTATCCAGATCATACCATATTAGACCTAACCTCATAAATTTGGTCTAATATGAACTGTATAGTATATGGTCTCATCGTTGATTTATCCTCCAACTTATTGATCTAGACCGTATATATGGTGCGGTTCCTCTATTCCCCAGCCCTACTTGGAATGAATTGACGGCAATTCCTGAAGCCCGGGTCGAGAAAGAAAAGACGCACTTAGCTTAAAAGTGACTCCAAATTGGAAAAAACGGGTAGAAACTAGAACGAGTAAAAATTTATAAACAAAAACGTCGAGCTCTTCCTCTGAAACCACAGCTCTCGCTCTTCAATCCCCACATCTATGGCGCTTTCTTCCTTTCGCGTAAGTCCTACTCTCCCTCTCTCTTTCTCCCTGTAGATCTCAGATTCATGTTTAGCTTTGGATCTCATGGGTTATGTCCCGAAACACCACCGAATCGGTTCAGCTTCTTCACTGAGAAAATTTGTTGAAAGCCGGGTATATTCTGGTTCATTTCCCAATAGCTTGGCTTCCAGTCGTGCTGGAGTATTTTCTAGAGCTGGGTTTCGTGAATTGGGCAAATCGTTTGATCCGATTGGTGTCTGAATAGATCGTGTTCAATGAAGAATTTCTGAGGGATGGAGAAATGTTTTTTTAGTTTCGAAGTGGAATTCGGTGAACTAAAAGATTTAGGTTTTACAGTGGAATTAATGAGTTCATCGTGGGTTCCCTTGATTTATGAGGTGGAAAGAAGCTTGCATTTTGCTTGGGGTGATGAGCGATTTGGTGATCTATTGTTTACAGGACGCTTGCCCTACTGTAAAGAACATTCTTTTGCTAGATTCGGAAGGGAAGCGTGTTGCTGTCAAGTACTATTCCGATGACTGGCCGACGAATAACTCCAAGTTAGCCTTTGAGAAAGCTCTCTTTACAAAAACCATGAAGACTAATGCTCGGACTGAAGGTTTGTTTAGTGATCATCTGAACTGGTTGGTCATCTCGGAATGTAGTATGTTCGAGATAGGATTTTTTTGTTATACTATACAGTGGTTGAAGCTTGAAATAGTTGTCATCACCAGAATCTAAATCCATTATCTAGTGCTTGGGATCTGAACGAATTGAGATATAGGATACTTGAATTGAGAATGTTCTTCATTCTGCCATCTGAGTTTTGCTTAAATGTAGGGAAGGTACACTGGTGCTCATGTTATCACTGTATTGGTATGTTCTCGGAATTAGGAATAATGTGGAATACTTGTACTGAGATGTGCTCTACAATTGTCCATGCTTATTTTGTTCAATTTCTAAAGAAATATGTCCTGTAGACTGACTGCTTGTCAAAATCTTCTTCTACTCTTTGTTTGCATTGCTGATCTATTTATTTATCCACTCCAGCGGAGATCACAATGTTTGACAACTACATCATTGTGTATAAGTTCATCCAGGATCTCCACTTCTTTGTGACTGGAGGGGATGATGAAAATGAACTTATATTGGCTGCTGTGCTTCAAGGTTTCTTTGATTCTGTTGCTCTTCTCCTGAGGTAGTAAATCTGAGTACTGAGTGCATACTTGCTTTCTTTCATATCCTCTTATGTGTGATTCATTTCTTCCATTTTGTTTTTGTAGGAACAATGTTGATAAGAGAGAGGCACTTGAGAACTTGGATCTCATCTTCTTATGCCTTGATGAGATTGTTGAAAGAGGGTATGCCTGATTTTTCTTTCCCTTGGTATATTCAGGTTGCATTGTGGCTGTGGAATTCTGTTGTGTGGTAATGTAGTCTGATAGTGAACACTTGGGATTTTAAGCCCAATACTGAATGAATACAGATCAGTATGCCATAACTCTTCGATTTTCTCATATAGAGATTTCCTTGATAACTCTTTCTATGCAACTTGGTTCCAAAAGTAGTTAGCTTGCTCGAGCAATTAACCTTATAGAGCATATACATCTTTTTTTTCTCTTGTGTGGAGTTTCCTATCCAATACCATCTCCATGCCTTGAATGGCTGCATCTCTGTGCTGCTTGCTTCTCAGGCTTGGCCTTTTCATTTTTCATCAGCGCGTGGTTTGCTTCTTACTTCGATAATTTTTTTTTTGTTGCAGGATGATATTGGAGACGGATGCCAATGTCATTGCAGGAAAGGTGGCCGTCAATAGCATGGACCCTGCTGCACCATTGTCTGAGCAGGTTTGCTTTCTCATGATCGCATCCTCCATTACATTTCTCGGCATCATGGATTCATCTCTTCACTCAAAATTTCTTTTTCCCTCTGCTTTTCAAATGCACAGACCATCTCTCAAGCATTGGCTACAGCTCGGGAGCATTTGACGAGAACCCTCTTCCAGTGAGTAAAATCAGCAGGAGGCGGCGCTGTAGAAAAGATCCTCATTCCCATTCCTTACTCCTTAGTGCTCAATTGTTGAGATTTTTGGAGGGTTTTTATTTAGTTCATTCGCATGATCTTTTTTTTTGCCTTCCAAGCTCGCAAGATTTTACTAGTTTGTGGCTTGTCATTGCACTTATACTTTACACTGTGATTTTACTGTTGTCGACCCTAATATCTTGATAATTTGTGGTTGACAGAAATGCCCGAGTTGTCGATCCCTTGTGAATGTGATGGCCAGCTCTTCCATCAACAAACGGATTCTTGTACTTTTTCCATTCTGACTAGGATGTTGGGGCTCGGCCCAATATAAATAGCAGCCAAACGAATGAAGGATTTCTGTACCTCATCCGGCTCTCTGTTTTCTTCTCCCAATTGACCTCGCCGTCTACAGCTGGCCATGGCCGCCCAGAGCTATTGCAGCTGGGCTGCCCGCGGACGCAGCAAAAGACTAACAGCTTCTCCTTCACCCATCATCAGCACTCTCGGAGACGACGAAGATCTCTTGGTCGAAATTCTGATTCGACTCCCGGGCTCTAAATCCGCATTACAATGCAAATCCGTCTGCAGACGCTGGAACGCTCTAATCTCCGCTCCCTACTTCTCTCTCCGTTTCGTTTCTCACCACCAGAGCCTATCCGCCGACGAATCCGAACAGCCTGTCCTGACCATCTCACAAGTCCGTCGACTGATCTCGAGCTTTCTCCCTTTTCCTTACGGGACCGAATCTAGGTTCTCCGTCCTCGATTCGGTCAAGGACTTGCTCTTACTCGGGTTCTGGGATCGGGAGACGTCCGACCAGGAGCTGCGCAGGACGCACTTGGTCTGCAACCCGTTTACGAAGCAATGGGTCGCCCTTCCCCTGGCGCCTAAAATGGCCGCCAGGTATAGTCGCTATAGATGGGTCGTGAAACTAGTCTGCGAGCCGTTGGATGAATTCCGGGTGGTGCGAATGTATAATCCGATGACGACGGTACGAGGAGGTCGAGCGAAAGTGGATGTTTACATCTTCTGTTCGAGATCCCGACGATGGACGAAATCTGTTCTTACCCTCGATGCCAATTTGATGTGCTGGGGTTGCACAGCTTATGAACGTGTAGTTTCGACCAACGGGAAGTTTTACTGGCTGATTGGTACGCTAGTGCGAGGAGTTGTAGTGAAGTGGGATCCTTTCTGTCGGGACTATGGTACTACGTTTCCAATGTTGTTGGAGGGCTGCCAGCTCGATTCGCAAATGCGCTGCTACGGTCCCTGGATCTCAGAAGGTGCTGTGCACATTGTTTGCAAAGAAACATCGATGTCTTCGATGCTGCTGAGTGTTTGGAGACTGGTGGAGGACGGGAAGGGAGGAGGATGTTGGAGGAAAGAGTATGAAGTCTTGTGGTCTAACGACTTGAGTTGTACTCGCAAGTCCAGCGATGGCGGCGGCAGCAGCGAGATCGAGACGCTGGATTTGAGGTTCGATCGCGCGGTTGGTATGCATCCCGAAAAGCCCGAGATCGTGTTTTTGTTGGCTTTTCACTCGAATCCTCGAGACTCGGCTATTTTGTCGTGGAATTTTAGAAACAGCGAGTTAGAATTCGTCACTTATCAAGATGATGATGAACCAAAGCACTTCATTCCTCAAGACGAAAAGGTGTTCCAACCCAGGGTCGGTTTCTGGCCTAGTTTGATTGCGAGCTGCGAGAAGTTGCGAAATGTGTACAACGGAAGTTATAGTTGCTGGCTTCCACCACCAACAAGTAATTAATCAAACCTCGTGAATCATAGTAGAAGCCAACCATCTCTTGAATGTATTTTGACGAGCTCCGCTCTTATTCCTATTGTCTCACTCTATAATGAGAGTAATATTAATGTTTGAATGTTTTCTAAATTAAGCATTTTCTCCCACGGTAAGAAACCCGAGGATCTAGGCGTCTTGCGTCTAGGGTGTTTTGATCGGGATCGATAGAGAATGGGGATTTAGGCGAATTGAGTAGGGAGATTGAGGGAAGGGACGAGAGTCGGGGAAAAGAGAGGGGAGGAAATCGGCGGCCAGGGTGGCCGACGAAGAGGTGAGGGAAGTTGGAAGGGGAGATCGGTCGAGTGAGGGAGAAGGGAAGAGGGATTTAGGGTTTTGGAGAATTCTGTTATGTATTTGCTTAATAAGTAATCACTCACTAACTACATAATATATAACCCGAATAATTCCCGTGAACTACCCTAATTATTACCCTTAACCCAAATAATCGAATAATCCTCAAATACACCCACAAACCCCCTAATAATATCCAATAATTCTCAAACATAAATAAAACGGCAAACAAGTCTGAATACCGAAATCACCCAATAATTGGGTTTCTAACAATCCACCCCTCTCGAGACCAACCTTGCCCTCAAGGTTGCTCCCGAGTACCTTGATTCTCCTTGGCTTCTTCGACAGCGAGCTCCTCTGCTTCATCCTCCAAGTTGCCCACCGGCGGCATCAAGTGCCCCTTGGCGCACTGGTGTCCCACGGTGTACCTCTCGTCATAGTTAAAACAGTGGCCATCCCTGCACTTCTGCTCCATTTCCGCAGGCGTGAGCTTCACAAATCCTCGAGGAGTTAGCCTAGGTCCCGCTCGCCCTCCTGGTGGCGCGCAGAGGTTGAGGTTGTCGAGCTGGAAAAGACATGGTTGCGTCTGAGCTACCGCCACTTGGTTCTCAACCACCGTCAGGGCTACCACGATCACGCCAATTAAAAAAAAAGGAATTGCTAGGGTTTTGGTGAAGAGATCTCAAAATCTTGAGTACTTCCTTTTCTGACTTTTCCATACATATGTATGGTGAGTTCTACGGTATATATATACACACGTAGAGAGCCACATTAATGAGTACTAAACAACGACTAACATACACTAATTTATAGCTAGCTAATAAAACTAACGGCTAACAGCAAACACGTGTCTTTACTCAATTAATTACATTGTTTATGTCTTCAGTGGCCAAACGGTGATGTTTCTTCTTTGTTCCATGACGACCAAGGGAAACAGTGGCGTTCTGAGTTTTCATTAGTCAAAGACACAAGGCCACCGTTTCCTTTATATATATTCATATAGTTGGTATGTGTTCATCATCTTCTTCCTTCCACAACAGTAGCTTCAGGTTCGTCAGTCGATCGATTGCTCAGGCTGCTGCTGTCACATCAAGCGTGATCCTGTTCTTCAATACTCTCACAAGGTGGCGAGTGTCTTTTACACTCTGTTTGGCAACAAGGAGTGCAAATTGCAGGGGTACAAGTTGAGGGGTAAATTACTGGGGTTGTAAGTGGAGAGGTAAATTGTTGTTTGGATGAAAAAGTAGGGGTGCAAATAGAGTGAAAAGTAAGTAATTATATTATTTTAAAATAGATTTTAAGATTTTGAAACATATTTTAAAATTATAAAATATTATCATAAAATAATAAAATAAATATTACTATATAATATATATACTTTACTAAAAATAGTTATTATATGATAATGCTCAAATAATAATTAATTATAACAATTGTAATAATCATTGATTGAGCGATCTCAAAATTCGAAGCTCAACTCGTAACTGGTCATCCTATATAGGGTTTTCGTGTCTAGTTTAATCTTAAATTGTCAAACTTAGTCAAACACATTCGAATTTGTAAGTTTTAACTATTTAGTTAAATAAACTGAGTTAACCAAACAATTTCTCTCTATCTTTTCCACAAACACCTCGTATCTCTAATTTTCCATGCAAATTCGATTCAAGCAAGAGATCTAGATTTGACTTGACGAACATTGATAAACTTGTTTCCAGAGTCAAATGGTCAACCCCGAATCATTTTTACATTAATGATATTTATAAATTTTTTTTTGATAATATTAATTATTATATAATTATATATAACACAATTAGAAAAACAACATTCCATAATTCCCCCCTCCCCCTCTCTTCCTTCCTTCCCTTGCACCCCAATTCGGGGGTAAGCCGAAACAGTAAATTTGCACTCCCGTTTTGCACCCCCCTATTGTTCCAAATTAACCAAATAGGTGCAAATGTGTTGGAAACTGTTTTTACCCCTCACATTTGCACCCTCCTCCCATTTACCCCTCTTCCCAAACAGAGTGTATGATACTCCCAGCTTGCTCATGAGAAAATTTAATCGTTCAATGCCTAGACTTTTGGTGAAAACATATGTCAGTTGATAACTTGTAGAAATGTGATCGATTCAAAACAATCAATCCACTTTGTAATCGTTCTCTGATCACATAACAATCAACTTTGATGTCAGTTGATAACTTGTAGAAATGTGATCGATTCAAATCAATTAAACCACACTTTTAGGAGCTCAAATGTCACAAACGTCAAAGAGAAACGGGGATAAAAAAAATGTACATTTAGGCCCGAATCACTCAGCAACCTCAACCTCTGCGTGCCGTTTGTCATACCCCCAAACCACCGCTCCCAGCTCGATCGAAATGTTGCTCTACACTCCAATCCGTCCAGCACGACTGCCTGCCATTGGCAGCGCCGTTATTTAAGTTTTGTGTGGGCTGGTTGGCTTTCATAAGGGGATTGATTGTGTGACACTTGATCTTTATTCCTCGGTTGTAAAAATATGGTCAACCAGATGAGGTTGTTCGATTTACAGCCCAATCCAATCAAATCGACTATAGTCTATAGAAAGATGGGAGAAAATGCTTTCATTTGGAAAACAAACAAGGATGTTGAACCAATTCAAACATAAATCTAACTCTGACAATAGGAAGAAGAGCGGAGTCACAATACATTATAACTTCCATCATATCCATATGCATTTCCCAACTTGTCGCGGCTTGCAATTAGAGTAGGCCAAAAAGTGACTCTGGGTTGGAACACCTCGTCAAAGAAGCATCCCGCCTCGCTATCTTGATCCATGACGAATTCTACTCTATTGCTTCTGAAATCCCACGACAAAATAGCCGATCCTGGATAATTACGATGAAAAGCCAACACAAACACGACCTCCGACTTTTGGGAATGCACACCCACCACGGTTTGGAACATCAAATCCAGCGTCTCGATCTCGATCTCGCTGCCGTTGTTTCCGTCTCTGTACTTGCGAGCACAACTCAATTTGAAAGACCACGCCACTTCATACTGTTTCCTCCAACCCTTTTCGTCCTCCACCAGTCTCCAAACACTCATCATCGAACCCATCCGTTCGTTGCAAACCATGTGCACATCACCTTCCGAGACCCACAGACCGTAGCAAGTGGATTCCGAATCGAGCTCACAGCCCTCTAACAATATTGGAAGTCTAGCACTACCACCATAGTCCTGCTGGCAGAAAGGATCCCACTTTACTGCTGCTACAACTCCTCCTCGCATGCTATTCAGCCAGTACAACTTCCCGTTGGTCGAAACTACACAATGTTCAGCTATCCAGCACCTTAAATCGGCATCGAGACGAAGAACAGATTTCGTCCATCGTCCGGATCTCGAACAGAACGTGTACACATCCACTTTTGCTGGACCTCCCCGCATCGGATTATGCATTCGCACCACCCGGAATTCACATGATGGGGAGGAGGCCGAATTAAACGGCTCAAGGACTAATTTCACGACCCATCTATAGTGACTCAACCTGGCGGCCATTTTAGGCGCCAAGGGAAGGGCGACCCATTGCTTCGTAAACGGATTGCAGACCAAGTGCGTCCTGCGCAATTCCTGGTCGGTCGTCTCCGGCCCCCAGAACCCGATTAAGAGCAAGTCCCTGACCGAATCGAGGACGGAGAACTTGGACTCGGTCCCGTAAGGGAAAGGGAGAAAGCTCGAGATCAATCGACGGACGTGTGAGATGGTCAGGACGGGCTGTTCCGATTCGCCCCCCGCATTGGCCGGGGGCCGGGTCTGAATCTGATGGTGAGAAACGAAACGGCGAGAGAAGTAGGGTGCGGAGATTAGAGCGTTCCAGCGTCTGCATACGGATTTGCATCTTAAGGCGGATTTAGGTCCCGGGAGTCGAATCAGAATTTCTAAGAGGAGATCTTCATCGACTCCGAGGCTGCTGATGATGGAGGAAGGCCGGGAAGCAGTTAGTCTTTTGCTGCTATAGTTCTCCGTCGCCATGGCTAGTGAGCTCAATTGGGAGAAAAAACAGAGAGCCGCCGAATGAGGCACAGGAATCCCTAATTCTTCTTATTAAAGAACAAGTAGAAGGGTTACTATTACTTATAGTCACATCACAAAGGTGATCATTTTGTAATTAACCAAAGTTTGTAAGAGTTTTTATGCCATTAAGGTTCTAATCAATTACTTTGATGCTATTAAGGTTCTAATCAATTAACTTATTACAATTGAATCCTAATTGAACCAAAATCAATGGGTATTCGACCTAATTCGGCAAGTTTAAAGCGGGTTTAACTCGGTTTTTACAAATTTCGGATCGACAAAGAGTTTTCCAACAACGAGTTTTACACTCTTAAATAAGTGGATTGAACGCGGGCAAGCGAGTTTTGTAGCGAGTTTTACAAACTTAAATCAATACAGTGTGTTGAACTCGGTATTTACGAATTTACAACTTTTTTTATCTTTCATTCGCTTATCGATCGTTTTACAACTTTTTTTTGTCTCCGCCTTGCAAATGGTTTTTCACACTTTGGGGGTGTCCTTCGCTTATCATTTATGGTTAGAGTCATTTTACCGTTTTTTTGTTGTTGTGTCGGATGTGGATTTTTGTCAAAACTCGCCTTGCTTTATCGAGTCGTCGGCTACGAAATTTAACCAAATTGGGTCGGGTGCCGAATTTAACAAATGGGTCGGATGTGAATTTTGTGATCTTACCCGCTTTTGTAATTAACAAATTGGGTCGGGCGTGGATTTTGGTAAAAACTCGCCTTGCTTTATCGAGTCATCGGCTACGAAATTTAACCAAATTGAGTCGGGTGACGAATTTAACAAATGGGTCGGATGTGAATTTTGTGATCTTATATCCTTTATGACAATTGGGCGAGTGTGAATTCTGTTATAAACTCACCCTGCTTTATCAAACCGGTCGTAGCGAGTTTTATCAAGTATTGACGAACTTTGGGTTGGCGACAAATTTTGCCCAGTTTTGCAAGCGATGAGTTGGTTCAGGTGCAAATTTTATTAAAAACTCACCTCGCTTTATCTAATTGGGTGGCGTTGATGAATTTTGGGTTGGTCTT